ACATGAGCATTGTGGCATGTGAATACCTCCTCCACACCAATCATAGACACACACACACACACACACACACACACACACACACACACACATCCCAGCACTCGGGAAATAAAATGCAGTTTAAAAAAAAGACAGAATATAGGGGTAGTGATTATTTAGGGCTTGAGGGGAGGGATAGCAAGTTGATAAAAGTGTAGGGAAATGTGGCTGTGGAGACAGCTGCCCAGCTGTGACTTTACAAAAACCACTGGGCTGCATACTTTGGGTGAGTTATACCATTATAGAATGTGGACTGTTTCTCAGTGACCCAGTGTGGGTCTGAGACCAGTGGATGTGTTTTTCCTGCACTCTAACGTATCCTCCAGTCTGCACTGTGCTGTGAACAGATCTTCACAGATCTACCATGTGGTGAAACACTTCTGTCACATAGCATCAAAAAAAAAAAAAAAATCACATTTGTATCACCAGTGAGCTGATGGGAAAGCCTTCAGTGTTGGAAGTTCACAAGCTCTGGTAGCAAATGCAGTTTCCAGAAGTCTCATTTACACTTGGAGCCTGAATTTTTATCTCAGGCAACACATAACATCGGCTGTCTGTGAGGGAGCAGGCTTGCTTCATTCACTCTCAAGCAAAAGTCTAAACACCCAAGTCTGATCAACTAACTGTGAGGAGGGGGGGTGTGTGCTAATTCAGCCTGTGATTCAACTGCCGAGTGTTTTTCACACTGTGGACCCAGCTCCCATCTCAGTGTGCAGAGCAACAGAACGCAAGGATCACAATTTAGCACAATGAGTCATTTTCCCTGCCTCATCCTCAAGCAAGAAAGCAGGTTCAGTTACAGCCAGTACAGGAAGACGGTCCCAGACCCAAAAGACCGTCACCAGTCAAGGATGGAGACTTTCGGTGATGTCTAATCCTGGTTATCAGCTTGACACACCTGAGAAGAGAGCATCTCAACTGAATTGCCTCCAATAGATTAGCCTGTGAGCAACTGTGGGGCATTTTATTGATTGGTAGTTGAGGCGGGAGGGTCCAGCCCACTGTGGAAGGTGCTATCCATAGGCATGTAGCCTGGGCTCCATAAGAAAGGTAGTTGAATCTGAGGCTGGGAGGGAGCCAGTAGGAAGCATTCCTGCCCTGAGTTCCTGTCTTGGATTCCCTCGGTGATGAACTATGACCTGGAAGTGTAAGGTGAAACAAACCCTTTTCTCCTAAGTCACCTTTGGTCATGGTGTGTACCACAGCTACAGAAAGCAAACTAGGACATCTGGTTTCTCAAAGGGGAGCCAGAAGAAAAATGTATTTGAAATCTCATAGTTTTGTTTTGTTTTCTGAGACAGGGTCTTCTCGTTCCAGCTGGCCTGGAACTCACTATATAGACCAGGCTGGCTTCAACTGCCTAGAGATCCAGCTGCCTCTTCCTTCCGAGTGCTGAAATTTAAGGCACGCACCACCACACCCAGCCAGAATCTCATATATTTTTAATCCCACTTTAAAAACATTGCACACAGTAGGCATTGGCTAGTTCATCGGTCACCTTGCTACAGAAGAAGCCAAGCTTGAAAAACTGGCTATTCTGCATTAGATTCCCAGCCCACACCTTCTCAAAGGTCCCTAACCACACCAAAGTCTTACAAAGGGACAAGAAGACACCCAAAGGTGAGAACAGAATAGCCACAGGCTAGAAGGGCGGGAGGGAGTACAAGGGACCAATACCGCCCCCCCACACACACACACAGGCTACTCCACTTCATCCACAGACACGAGGGCAAACAGCCCAGGAAATAAGCTCCACACAAAGACTGGAACGCGAAAAATAAAGAACCATCAATCTCAGGTAAGCCAAAATCAATGGCCTGTGGCACAGGAGAATGTGGTGGGGCAGAGCAGAGGCTGAGGGTGCAGGGGTGCAGAAGCACCTCCTACAATCTGTTAGGGGTGTCACCTGATGTGACTGTCCTCCGACCCACTTCCAAGACCTGAATTTTTGGGGCAAAGCCAGGTGGAGCAGCATATGACACGGTCCCGGGGCCAGCTTCATCACAGGCCACCTGAGCAGCTGCCCAGCTAGTAACTGAACACCCATCCTCCCAGAATCCCAGCTAAAGCCCTCACTCCCAAGGTGACACTAAGGGACAGTGATACAGATTTGGAGGTGGAAACTCTACTAAGTAATTGGGTTTCCATAAGATCATGGGCTGAGTCCTGAGAATGGACTCAGGCCCTCATAAAGGGTTGAAGGGACCAGTGTGCTTTCTCCACTGTTGTGAGGGTAAGCCAGCCAGGGTGTGTCCACCAGATGCACAATCTGTTGACACTCTCATGTGTTAGGCCACCAGTCCATGGTAGGGTCACAGTAGCCTGAACTGAGTACAAGTTCACCCTAACCCCCAGGAGACTTAAACAAGCCCTGAGCTGGGCTCCAGGCCCTTTTTACGGTCTTCGGTCATCTACTGAGGAAAGATCTATCATAGAAATGGGATAACCCAAGAGGGTAGTATGTCAGCACTGCCCACTGTGGAGGAAGTAGGCCCAGAGAGAGTGAAAAAAAAAAAAATCTGACTCAGTTCTAGGGGTTTCAAGGTGATCCCTTTCCCAAACACAGACACAGATCACAAATCTAAAAACACACATAAAACACACCACACACACAGAAGACGGCGTGTGGGAGTTCAAAGATGGCTATTGGGACAGTCACAGGGTATAGCACATGTGAGTCGGAACAGTTGGCAGCATACCGGATGGGAGGAAAGGCAGTCATCCTAACTAAAAAGACTTACTTGTTCAACATATTTGGTTCCCACAAAGCACCTGGCAGTATTCTGGAAGGGAAGAGTCTCTGAATGAGACACACAGGCCCCTGTTCTCAAAAAAATATGTTGGAAAACAGAGTGTGAGGTGAGGTAGACAGACAAGCACATGAACAAGAAATGCTGGGCTAAGTATGTACCACAAGGGGAAAAGCAAACTCATGGGCAAGGAACTGCAATCAGACACACAGCATGGCCTGAGTCACCAAGTGTGGTCAGTTAACCAGACCCAAAAGGCCCCAAAGGGATTCAGTTACACAGAGAACCCAGAATGGATTCTGGAGTCTTGCCTGAGCAAAGAATCACAGGAGGGGAGCCCTATGGTGGGATGGTTGTTAGAGTTGATCACACATGCTACTGTGTAGAGAAGACTCAAACAGAAAGCAGAGCCCTGCTGGGCTACCACTCTAGTTCAGGCAATGGAGAGATGCAGGACACAGTGTAGAAACAGAGCCAGTACTTTGGAGATGAGTAATGACAGAAGAATAGTGTAATTATGGCACTGAAGACTGGGAGGTACAACACTAGCAGAGGAGAATCAAGAGTTCTGTTCAGGGGCTGGAGCAAAGGCTAAGGGTATTTCATGCTCTTCTAGAGTACCCAAGTTCTGTTCCCCGCACCCACACCAGGTGGCTCACAACCATTTGTAACTCCAGGTCCAGGGGATCTGAGCCCCTCTTCTGACCTCCATGGGCACCTAGACACATGTGATATACACTCAGTCACACACATAAATAAATAAAACATTTTAAAAATAAATCTTTTTTGCCGGGTGTACACCTTTAATCCCAGCACTTAACAGAGGCAGACGGATCTCCGTGAGATCCAGCCTGGTCTACATAGTGAGTTCTAGGTTAGCTGGGGCTACAGGGAGACCCTGTCTCAAAAAGACCAAAAATGAACAAATAAATAAATAAATACTTTTTAAAAAATTGAAAAAGAGCTCTGTTCTAGCTGGGTGCAGTGGACACAACTGTAACCCCAGCACTCGGGAGGTAGAGACAGGAAGAGGAGAAGTTTGAGGCCTCCATGGAATACATGAAACCCTGTCTTAAAAGAGCCAAAGGCTAGGGGTGTAGTTCAGTGGTAGAACTCTTGCCCAACATGTGCAAGGCCTCATCAAGAGTTGTTTTCATGCTTGGTTACAGGTGAGCAGGTGGTAGAGAGGCAGCCAGGGGCCAGTCCCAGCACTTAACACTCGAAGGTCTACCAGACAAAGAAACACCGGCTGTGATAATGAGTCTAAAGGCGGCAGAAAACACAAGTCACAAAGGCAGCAGCTCGTATGATCATACATATTCCAGCCAACAAGACTTGTGACACTTGGCCTGTGTTTGGGATACAGTTCCTTACCTCCCCTCCTCACGGCTCTCCTGCCCATCCCCTAAAGCTAGGGTGACAAGAAGCTTTATTTACACACTACTTATTTAACCATTTAATGCATGAACTTGACCTTTGAGGACAAATGCCTCTCTAAAGGCTGTCTTGCACACCCTAGGGGATGCTCTCTCTCTAAAAACTCAAGTGTTCAAGATGGGCTTCTGGGTAAACTTCAGATAACATTTCCTATTAAAGCCTGCTGCCAGTTCTCCCCAGAATTCTCCCCTGGAACAAAGGAAAAAGAGTAAGGTTGGGGAATGAAAAAAAAATTCTACCCAACCAAGTGTGCACAGAAAGTGGCATCGCGAGGGTCCTGCTGGGTCACCAAGGTGGAGAGACCACAGAGCCCTTGGCCATTTGCTGAACCAGCCATCTCCACCTCTCAGGCACCAAGCCTGGGTCCTCCACGAGGAAGTGAAAAAGAACAGAACCCTCTCCTAGCCCATGACCTGGACAGGTGCAGAGTAGAAAGACCCCAATGATACAGAGGGTGAGCCCGGCTTGAGTCCTGTCTCTGCCCTGGCCTACCGGTGCAGCCACCAGTAACCAGGTAAGACGGGGGCCGAGCTCCGAAGTGGGAATGACCTCCTCTCAGGGCCCTCAGCGGCCGGAGGGGGTTGAAAATTAGGAGATCTGAGGTCGGACCAAAGGATTGGAGGACCGGAGGAGGGAGGACCAAAGGGCTAGAGGATCCTAGGGAGGAGGAACAGAGGAGGACGAATAAGAGTCAGAGGGAGGAGGGCCAGAGGGAGGATGGATGACTGGAGGAGGAAAATGATCAGGGGGAGGAGGCCTGGAGCAGCAGCCACTGACCTGCTTGAAGGTGCTGCTGAGGAAGTAGACCAGCGAGAGCCCAAAGACCAGGGCGAGTACCCAGCGCTTGCGCAGCAGCCGGCGCCACAGCAGCGCCGCCAAGTTCAGCATCCCGGTGCAGCGCCGCCAGGCTCAGCATCCCCGCGGCATGGCCTCGCCGCCCGCTCCTTACACCGCAGCCCCTTCTGTGCTCAGTGCCCGCTTCGGTCCAGCTCCCCGCAGCCGGCGGGCCGCCCACGTGACGCGCAGCCCCGCCCCTCCCCGCTCCGCTGACGTCACCGCCAGGCCCCTTCCATGTCTCCTCTCCATTGGTCCCTGCGGATCCACAGCCTTCCATTGGCTGAATCCGGAGACCGGAGCGGGTCATCATGAACGAGTGACTGGCGTAGCCACCCCCAGTCCTAGCGCCGACTGAGACTGGACTAGCGGAGGCCGGAAGCACTTGGAAGTCACGTGCTGCCCGGGCCGCGCCAGTGATTGGCGAGCTGGACGTGAATGAGGCGGCCGTGATTGCTGAATTGTCTGGGCAGGTAAAGAGAGAATGCGCCACTTTCTCTGCCAAGCGGTGTGGTCAGGTGTGGACCCCGGTCCGTACAGTCCCCTTGCAGGGTTTTGCTCTATGCATGGGTGGCAGGAATGAGATGCGACCGTGACCTTGTTTGCTCAGTTCTGTGCACTGCTTCCAGGGCGAGCCACGCAAGAAAGATGCTATCTTACTGGGCTTGGCGGTGCGGTCTTGGAACGGCCTGGAGACACAGCTTGAGACTGCGTAGACTGGATGTGGTCTCTCATAGGGAGGGACAGGATGCATGGAGTAGAGCCTTAAAGGAAGCTTCATTCAATCATTCATTTGCATCCAGCATGCAAGATGTATTCCAGGATTCAGTATAGGAATAATTATATATTGTTAACAAAGGGTCTTAGGCATTAGCTTTAGAACGTCGTGTCAAATTTCGGATGGAAACTGTGGCTCTGTGTTTTATTTTCCCCAAGGATGGGGAGTTAGTTAGCCAGACTGCAAGTTCTTGAAAAACGTTTTCATACTGATCTTGTCTTTCTGTATGAAGATGGTGGAGTTGGGGATGTAGTTCAGTGATACACAAGGATGATGCTGAGGACTTTTTTCCTAGCTAATTTTCCAGAAAAGAAAGGAGACTTAGCTGGTGGGTTGTCTGGCCACCTGGTGGGGGGGCCCTAAGGAGGCCGCTATTCAACAGCCTTCTGCTAAGAGTTAGGTACATCTGCGTAGGGAAAATACTCCAGGAAGCTCAGCCTGGCTACAGAAACCATCTCTCCTTTTCTACTTTCCTGGTCCTTTATTGGAAAGTGCTGTGTTGAGAACAACACAGGGCAAGGCCAGGAGGTGAGACCAATGGAGGAGGTGCTTTTTGCTACAAAGCCACCACCTGGCAACCTTCATCTGGTAAAGCGTTCGGTGGGAGGAACAGCAAGCCCAGAGGCTGTGAGGCAGGGGACAAGCCAACATGGGAGAAGGAATGGAAAGGCCAGTGGGTCTGGAGGTGACTCACAGGATTGAGGTTGGAAATGAGTGATCCAGTATCAGGCAGAACCTGGAGGCTGTGGACAGAGATCAGATTTTATTCTGGTTTTAGTGGGAAGCCTTTGGAAGTTCTAAAATTATTTTCTTTTTCCTCAATCAGGTTTTGTGATTTTCTTTTTTCTTTTTGCCTCCGTGTTATATGTGTGTGTGTGTGTGTGTGTGTGTGTGTGTGTATAGAGGTCAGTGGACAGATGAGAGGTCTGAGGTCAACTTTGGGAGTCATTTCTGTTGAAACATGTCTCTCACTGGGGTGCTGTGTGTGTGTGTGTGTGTGTGTGTGTGTGTGTGTATAGAGATCAGAGGTCAAAGGTCAACTTTGGGAGTCATTGCTGTTGAAACATGTCTCTCACTGGGATGTGGGACTCACCAATTCGGCTATACTGCCTGGCCAGGGACCTTCCTGTCTCCATCTCCCCTGTGCTGGGATTACAGACTTTTTACACAGGTAAAGGAGATCAAACTCTGGTCTTCATGCTTGTGTGGCTAGCACTTTATCAACAAAACCAAAATTCAAATTATAATAGTAGGACAAAATATATTTAAGCTCATAACCAGCCATAAGTCTCAAAGAAAAAGTACTAAGAAACTACCCAGAGACACTGGGCAAATGGAAACACCTGTTGAAGTTTCCAGTGACGTCCCAAGTTTTGTTATGTGACACAATTAAGTGCTCTGTGCCACCCAAGGTCTAAAGTCTCCAGTGAACCCTCTGACCTGTGCTTCCCTCTGAAGAGGAGGAGGGGAAGGCCTGCTCTCTAAGGGACCCAGTGACCATATCCCCATCAGGAACCCTGAATGCTCACAACACGTGTCATCGCCATGGAATTCTGAAGTCCATGTGGCTCCTCGCGGTGCACCAGGTGACATGTCCCCATGGGAATTCTTACCTTCACTTCTGCTTTATCAAATTATGAGATGCAAGGAGGATTTGAATCTACCCTTTCCACTCCCTCCTGTGGGATAGATGACAGGCACAGAGAAGCTACTGATTTGTTCAAGGTCACACAGCAAGTTAGCAGGTAGCATCAGCTCACCTGGCACCTGCATGCGACCCCATTCCTTGCTTTGTCCTTTTGCATGTGGCCCACCTCCACTTGTGGGTCCGTGTAGTGGGGTGATACTTCTCCTTTGTGGGACTGAATGTGCAGCTGAGGTTTGTGCAGCAGAAATGATAGAAATGGTTTGGAAGTTGTCAGGAGCTGTGGCTCACATGTGTGTCGGCTTTCAGGTGCTAAGGAAAATGCAGAGACGCCACAGTAGTAACACAGACAACATTCCACCTGAAAGGTAAGAGTCTCCCATTTCCATCCACCTGGGGCTCGGGTGGTGAAAGGCAGGCTGGAAGTGGATTGAGTACCTGCTTCTCAGGGTTGTTGGAAGCATAGAAGAGATCCATTAGAAAACTGCTCTGCACGGTGTTTGTTCAGTTTTGCATGCCTAAAATACCCAAGGTAACTGGCCTTATAAAGAGAAAAGGTTTACTTTGGTCACAGTTTTAGGGGCTGAGAGATCAGATGACAACTCAGGTTCAGGGGCTACCTTGACCCCATCACCATGTGGTGTGGATGCCAGTGATGGCTTTGTGCACAGGTACAAGTGATTATTTCTCAAAACATGGCACAGAGTGTGGGAGAGAGGGCTTGGTGAATAAAGTGCTGTCCATACATGCGTGAGGACCCGAGTTCCGATCTCCAGAATCTACATAAAAGCCAAGTAGGCGTGGAGGCTGCCTGTTAACCCAACACTTGGGAATCGGAGACAGGGAATTCTGGGACAGGTTGACTGACTACACTAGTGGGAATGGGCATGCTCAGGTTACTGAGAGACCCTGCCTCAATAAATACAGTAGAGAGGGAGTGAGGAAGACCCCTGATGTCAACTTTGGGCCTCTGCATGCATGCACATTGACACACTTGTTACCACGTGTGCAGACATCGTGTGCAGACATCATATACACACCACACAGATGACCTGACACATGAAGATATTATGCCATACACATGTGACCTCACACATGCAGACATCATGCATACCACACATGTGATCTGACACATGCAGACATGCCACATGTATGTAACCTCACACATGCAGGTACCATAGACACACCATGCATGTGATTTCATGCCCACCTGCAGACATCATACATGTGAACTCATATATGCAGGCATCATACACATAGCACACATATGACCTTGTGCATACAGATATCATATATGCAGACACTGCATAAATGTGGCCTCACACATGCAGACATATATATTACATGTGTGTCTTCATGCCTGCAGATGTACACCACAAATGTGACCTCATGTATGCAGACATCATACACATAGCACACATCTCATGCATGCAGACATCATACATGTGACCTCACATATGCAGACACCTACCATACACATGACTTCACACATGCAGATATACACAGACCACATACATAGGTATGACCTCATACATGCAGACATCATACATATACCACACACACAGATGATCTCACACATGCAGACATCATACACACATAGCACATGTGACCTCACATATGCAGACACCAAACACACGTGACTTCACACTTTCAGACTACACACACCGCATACTCAGTGATCTCACACATGCAAACATCATCACATATGGGTGACCTAGGGGTTGGGGATTTAGCTCAGTGGTAGAGCACTTGCCTAGCAAGCGCAAGGCCCTGGGTTCGGTTCTCAGCTCCAGAAAAAAAATAATAATAAAGACAAAATAACAACAACAACAAAAAAAAACCAACAAAGCAACTAGCAAACTAGCACATATGGGTGACTCACACATGCAGACATCATATACACCACACATGTGTGACCTTATGCATATAGACATTACATACATGTACCCTCATGCATGCAGACACCACATACACACCACACTGTGTGACCTCATGCATGCAGACATACATCTATGACCACACATGCAGATGTGCACACAACAGATGTATGACACATGCAGGCATCATACATACACCACACACATGTGTGACCTCACACATGCAGACATATGCACACATACCACACAGATATATACAAAAACAACTTTGTTAAATAGAAGAGAGGCTGAATTCTCATAATCCTCTTCCAGGACATGCCCCCAGGGATCTAAAGTCCTCCTGCTGAGCTCTTCCAGGCCCATAGCACTGCCTCAGACCAAGCCTTTACCACTGGACCTCTGGGGACACACACACACCCAAACAGCACAAGGAAACTGCCTTACTGGCTACTCAACACAGCGTAGCTGCTGTTGGTCCTAGGAAGGTTCTCAGACCCCATGTGAAAGATCTATGTGACTCATTGGATCATGACTATTCTGGTGGGATTTTCATTTACAGAGACAGCATATTCTATTCTAATTGTGGTAAAAAAGATATCCCAGCTAGGGACTCACACCACAGACATCTGTTTCTCACAGTTCTGGACGCTGGGAAGTCCAGAGTCAGGGTCCTGGCAGATCCCTGCCAGATCTGATGAGAGCTGCTTCCTGGTTCCTGGATGACAGTGGTCTTGCTGCTTGTGGTGTGAGGGCAAAGGGTTTCTGTGGCCTTTTCTCTGAGGACATGAATCTCACCAAATTCAAGTGTGCCCCACCTTGCAGAGCCCCACCTCCTAACACCACCGTCTTAGGGGGCCAAGGACTTCAGCTAGGAATCTAGAAGAGACAGACATTCAGTCCATAATGGTGAACACCACAGAGAACTGATGTCGGTGTATGTGAAAAGTCAGTGGGTGTGGTGGATCTAGGTGGGTGGGTTTGTGCCTTCATATGTGAATGGGTGCATATGTGTTTACATGTGCACATGGAGATCAACCTCAGGTGTGGTTCCTCAGGAGCCATCCACCTTGTTTTTTGAGACAGGGTCTCTCTCTGGGACCTAGCTCACCAATTAGGCTAGGCTGGCCAAGGATCCCCAATGAATCACCTGTGTTTCCACCTCCTCAGCACTGGGATTACAAGCACATGCCATCATGCCTCTTGCCTTTGTACATGGGTGCTGGGGATCGAACTCAGGTCCTCATGCTTATGCAGCAAGCACTTTACCTACTGAGTCATCTCCCCAGCCCCAAGAGAGCTATCACCCACCAAGGACTCTGGAGAAGTAGCAGAGCTGATCACAGGACAGGGAAGGGGGAGAGGAGAGCAGAGACCACTGTCTCTGCCATGTTTGCCCAGGAAAGACCAGGCAGAACAGACAGCGTAAGACTGGCCAGTCTGAACAACCCTGGTGGCTCTGGTACCTAGAGTAGTCTCTAGCTCTTTAGTGTCTAGCCCTGGTGGGTTTAGGGCCACAAAAATAAATGGACTTCACGTGTGGAGGTTAAATAGCAAGGAGGGGGGCGGGGGGGTCAAGGGAGGTTTAACCTATTTGGACACTTGTTTGGCCCTGGGCTGTATGAGTCCAAATGGATAGATACAGAATATGAAAAAACAAACTCAAGGGCTAGTTTCCCTGTGTTTCAACCTGAGAGCACACCCTGGGGGCAGGGGGGCTGTGCTCAGGGGGTGACAGTCTCCCAGCAACAGAGTCTCAGCTAGCGCCTGGGTCCACATCGTATGCGGCCATGCTCTGCCTTCTCCACCTCCCACCCCATAAACACTGGGGTCAGCTGCAAAAGCATACCTGGTACCCACCAGTCCTGGTACCCACCGGCCCAGTCCCAGCATCAGGACCACTCTTGGTTCAGGGAAGTGCCCTGGTTATACATCAGACAACTTTTTAAAAATATTTTATTTATTATTTTTATTTTATGTGTATGAGTGTATTGCCTGCATGTATATGAGTGCACCTGTGTCATGCAATGCCCAGGAGGTCAGAAGAGGACTTCGGATTCCCCTGGAACTGGCGCTAAGGACAGTTCATAGCTGCCATGTGGGTGCTGGGAATCGAACCTGGGTCCTCTGCAAGAGCAGTCAGTGCTCTTAACCGCTGAGCCATCTCTCCAGCCCCCAGACAACCTTTTTTTAAAACCCCAGTTCAGCCACTCCTCACATGCCAAGGTCTGAAGGCGGGGTTCCCCAAGATTCACAATTGGGCAGCTTCATCTCAGAGTCTTATGTTGTTGGGGTTTTGAGGTAGGGCCTTTGGGGATGAGGAGGAGCAAGTGATGTCTTCAGGATGGTGTCCCACAAAGCCTTGAGAGGCTTTAGAAGAAGAGGTAGAATGTGATGGTTAGTTTTAATTGCCAACTTAACAGAATCTAGAACTTCCTAGGAAGGGAGTCTTAATGAGGGACTGTGGGTATCATGTTTGCCTGTGGGGAATTCGGGGGGAGGACTCACCCACTCTGGGTGGCACCATTCTCTGGGTTTGGGTTCTGGCCTGGTCCTGTGTAGAGAAGGGCCTGAGCAGAGGACTTGCATGCATTCATGTCTCTGCTCTTGACCGTGACGTGACTAGCTGTGTGAAGCTTCTGCTGCCTCGACCTCCCTGCCATGGTGAACTGTAACTTGGAATTGTGAGCTAAAATAAGCCCTTTTCTCCCTAAACGTGAACTTTTTTGTCAGGGTATTTTATCACAGCAACAGAAATGGAACTAGAACAAAGGAAGACCCTAGCTAGCGTGTTTGCTGTCCCATCACAGGATACCCTGGGTCATGTTAGGAGTCGACACAAGCGCTTATCTTGGAATTCCCAGCCTTTTGATCCAAATAAACCTTTATCCTTTCCAAGCATTGTGTGACTTCTCTTGGGGATTGTATTTCTGTCCACCCTGGATGGAGAGACCAACAACAAACAAGTCCGCCCAAATCTCACCTGGGAAACCATGAGTTTGTTACTTACAGAAGCATGAGTGACTCAGAGGCAGGGCATCACCAAAAAGCCCAGCCCAGCATGGGGACAACTCATGGAAGCTGTTTCACCAGCGCCCCCTTCCATTAACCTTGCAGCACCTAAGTACTCTAACGCCTCCTGAGACCAGCTGTGGGAGGCAGGAGGGAGGGAATGACTGGAATCTCGGGTGAAGGTCTGATGACCTTCCCCCTCCTATGTCTGTAAGGCCCAGTCTTGTGAAGATCTAACAGGGGTGTCATCCCCAGAGGACAAAGTTCCACAGCACTGTTTTCTAGTCTTGGGCATTTTGTTATAGCAATGGATAGCTGCCATCCATAGTACCTTTGGCAAGTAATGACACCTCAAAGTCTCAGTTTCTCCAGCCATAGAGGACAGATAAGAAATGTTGGAGTTGCCTGCAAATAAGCCTGAAGACAGCAGCATCTGTCTTATGGTTAGCCTGATGGAATCTTCTGAGCAGAAGATAGCTTTAGCACTTGCTCTCAAGTGAACCCAGACATCTTTGGGGGCAGAAACTACGGCAGAAAAATGCTGACCACCGGGCATATACCAGGTCACCATTTTACAGATGAGAAACTGAGGTTCAGGCAGGGGAAGTTCGTTATCTAAAGTCACACTTCTAGAAAGGGACAGGGCTGATATTTGAGTATTGATCCATTTGATTCCCTCAAAATTTTACATTTTATATTACATTTTATTTTTCTCTCTCTCTCTCTCTCTCTCTCTCTCTCTCTCTCTCTCTCGTCTTTTTGATATAGGGTCTCCTCGTAGCCCCACTTGCCTGGAACTCACTGTGTAGACCAACCTGGCCTCAAACTCACAGAGCTCAGCCTGCCTCTGCCTCCTGAATGCTGGGACTAAAGGCGAGCGCCACCATGCCCAGCTACATTTTACTTCTATATTTTGTGTGCACGTGTATGTCAGTGGGTGTACACATGTCATGGTGCCCGTGTAGGTCAGAGGACAATTTGCTGGAGTCTGTTCTGTCCTCCCACCATGTGGGTCCCAGGGATCAAACTCTGATTGTCAGACTTGTTGGCAGGCGGTGCCTTTACCTGCTGAGCCATCTCACCAGCCCAAAATTTGTGCTTTTAAGACACCACATCTTGGTGCCTGTATCCAGGTAGATCTGTTCTCCTGGGCTATCTAAACTGTAGCCCTTAAGTGGTTAAGTTAAAAGTACACCACCCCCCAACCCTCCAAGGACTATTCTTTCCAGTTTAGGCTACAGTCCCTGCAGGATACAGGAGAGGGGCTGAGGGAAGGGGGTGCAGCTAAATAAAGCCCTTGGTGGGTTGAGCCTTCCCTAGTTATACTGGTGTTCCCTGGGGGACCAGGAGTTCGGGTGAGCTCAGGGGAATAGGGAAGGGCTTCCCAGGGTCCCCTGGGGGCAGGAGCCTCTACCCAGGCCTGGGCACCTGGCAGGACTCATGGTTTCTGAGCTGAGCTTTCTGAAATAGAAAGCCCAAGGCCCTTCGAGGCTCATAGCCGTGGCTTCTGTTGTTGTTGTCACTAATATCATCAATACTTTTATCCAGAGCCTGAGGGAGGAGGTGTTGGAGTCACCAGGGAGAGGGCCTGGTGGAGAGAGTGATGAGGTAGCCACCTGCAAGCTGTGCCAGCTTTAGCATGATAGCCAAGTCCAGTTTGTGAAACCAGGGGAACAACCTTGAGACATCATCAGACCAAAAGGTCCCTTCATGTGTGTCACTGTCCTGCACAACATTAATAGGTTTTCTGATCCATGATCAAATGAGTTTTGTGAATACCAGGCTTAATCAAGGGCTTTTAAAGAAAATGACATGTTTATATATAACACAGTGTACATGTAGAGGTCAGAGGACACCTTGTAGGAGTCAGTCCCACACATCAAACTCAGGTCAAAGCACCTTTACCCACTGATCCATCTTGCTGGCCCCAGAGGTATTTTTTTTTCTTTTTTAATGCAGGCCTTCTCAAAGCCTTAGTGTGACCACAGGTTCCTTCAGACACCATTGAGTGAGCATGCTGTATGTGCCAGGTGCATTGTGCTGTGGCACAGCCACAAAAGGAGCAGGCAGTGGCAGCTTTTATCCTTGTCATTGACTACAGGCTGGGATCTCCAGGGGCTTTAAGAAGTCAGGGTGCAGGGTCCACACCCAAAGATTTGGGTACATTGAATCTATGAAGGGATGAGGGCACATGCATTTTCCCTGAGCTCCCCACGGTGATTACAATGTGCAGCCAGGATTGAGAGCCTTGGGTCTCTAGGGAAAGATGTGCAATAAATTCACAACCAAGATCAATCCCATGTAAATGGGCACTAGGTTCAATAAGGCATGGCCACTGTCTATCCACTGAGGAGACCTGTCAGCTGACATCTAATGGATGGGCTAAGGCAGGGTTGGGGGACAGCCCAGTGACCAGAATAGCCTGAAGCAGGAGGCCTTTGAAAGATGAGAGTGGTCCAGCAGGAGGTTGGAGTCTGGGACCAGATACACCAGGACTTCTGGCAAAGCTTGCCTCCTGGAAACCTCAGTTTCTTTCTCTGTAAAATGTGAATGAATGCTATTGGTACCTGTCATTAGGACTTAGTAGAGACTTCAAGAACTATTGAACGGGAGTCTCTCAGAGGGCTTTCAGTGTAATAATGAAGTGATCAATATATATGGACTAAAAAGAGGCTGGGTGACATAAGGTCAAGTGTGAAAATGGCTTTGGGGGGAGCAAAGTGGTTGTAGGAAGGGCTTAATGCTAGGTATGTGGCTCCCTGGGTAGAGAACTTGCCTGCCACTCAAAAAGTCCTGTGTTTGATCCCTGGCGCCCTCTATCCTTATGTGTTGGTGCACGCCTGTAATCCCAGCATTTAGGAGGTAGAGGTAAGAGTCAGGAGTTCAAGGCCAGCCTCAGCTACATAGAAAATTCAAGGCCAGCTTAGGATTCATGTCTCAAAATAAAGAAATGTAGGCTCTGGAGTTAGTCTGCCTACAGCCAAATCCCTGTTCTCTGTCCCTCACCAGCCATGCAGCTCTAGCCAAGTGACCTTGTCTTGTGTGCCTCAGTTTCTTTACCTGGAAAATGGGGTTGTTATGAGTTCCTTGCCCAGGGTGATAAGATTTCATGGGTCAGTCAAGTCATAGAAAATACTGCAAAGTAAGCTGTCAGTAAAAATTATGACCCTCTTTGGGGAGGTACTGGGAATTGAACCCTGAGCCTCATACATGCCAAGCAAATAACCTACCACTGGGCTATAAGCCCCTGCTTTCTTTTTACTTATTTGAGACAGAGTCTCACTAAGTTACCCAGGCTGGCCTTGAACCTGTGATCTTCCTGCCTTAGCCTCTGAGTGCTAGGATCAATCACAGGCCTGTTCAAGCTACCACACTGGTGGCTGGTGCCATGGGTGGTTTCATTAACAGATTTTCTTTCTCATAGTGCCAGAGGCTGGTCTCCCACTGTGTGCCTGTGTCTTAATTTCCTTAAAGGGACAGCTGCCATATTGGATTAGGGTTCACTATTAATTCTTTAAAGACCCTGCCTCTAAATAAGGTCACATTCTGAGGTGCCAGAGCTTAGGACTTCCATCCAAAGTTTTGAGGGGTGACAGTTGGGGGTCAGCCACACTATTGGTATTATCTGTCCACCATCCCCATGGGGGTGATAGCTTTCTGCCTCTTTCCTTGTATGTTAATCCATTTTGCTGTTGCAAGAATAGACCTCTAGAGGCTGGGTGGAGTTACAAAGAAAGGAGGTTTGTTTAGCCCACGGTTCTGGATGTTCATGGGCAGCATCTGACCATAGGGTTCTTCCTGGCAGAGTCCTGTGGGGCATGATTGTAAACTGCATAAGTTGTAGATTGTGTGTGCACAAGCATGTATGTGCATGTATATGTGTGCATGCATGCATGTGTTGTGTGTCTTCTAGCTCTCTCAATCTTCCTATAAAACCTTCAGGATTCACTTCTGGAGGTTGTACCCTATGACCTCATCTAATTCTAACTGTCCCTCCCCAGATCCTCTCTGGATACTGTAGTGGGGTTAAACCTGCACCCTTCCAGCACCTTCCGTGGGGATTAAACTGCAGTGATAGTTTGGTGTTGGGCCTCATGAAGACCTTGTCTGTCACCCTGTCCTGCAGGAGCCGTAGCCAGGCCCTCAGCCCTGAGACCAGTGTGGATGAGGGTGGCGTGTTTGAGAGCCTGAAGGCAGAGACGACCTCCCCACCTGCACTCTTCTCGGGCCTGGCAGGCAGCCTACCTACTAGCACCTTCCCAGCTGGCCTGGTGTTGGGCTCTGCAGGTGGAGGGGACGTGTTTATCCCCATGCCTGCCACCAGAGATGAGGCAGGTGGCCGCAGCGCCGAGGGCGGCACTTACCATCACCGCCCACCCCACCACCACTTCCACCACGGCTCACACCGCGGAGGTTCCCTGCTGCAGCACGTCGGTGGGGATCACCGCAGCCACTCAGAGGACGGTGGTGATGAGCAGCCAGGGACACCTGCACCTGCACTGTCTGAACTGAAGGCCGTCATCTGCTGGCTGCAGAAAGGACTGCCTTTCATCCTTATCCTGCTGGCCAAACTGTGCTTCCAGCACAAGCTCGGTGAGTCCAGTGGGCCTACAGCTCTGGGGCAGGATGGGACCTGCCCAGAGCCAGGATGAGGCAGCAAAGGAGTCATGGTGCACAGTGCTTGAGGGCATGGGTTCCAAATCAGACAGGTTCAAATTCTAGTCTAGCTTTGTGACTAGAGGCCAAGTGACCTGGCCTCTCTGATCCTTGGTTTCCTCTTTCCAATGAGGCTGAGATAGAAACTTCTTTGATCTATTGTTGGGAAGAAAGGAGTCGAGTGTCATAACTAAGAGCTTAGACTGCTGGGTCTCAGCCCCATCTCCAGCCCTTCCTATCTATGTGATGGCTGGATCTGTTTTGAACCTCTGTGCCTTAGTTCCATCATCTGTCAAATAGGGGTTAAATTTGTGCAGTCATCCCTCTCAATCTGCAATTCTGCATCTGGAGATTCAAATAACGGCACATGGAAAATATTCGGGGAGGGGGATAGGAAGATGGCTCTGATAAAGTACCCGCCCCAGAAGCATGAAGACTTGACCTCAGTCCCTAACACCCATGTAAGCAGCTGGGCAAGTGCCTGTCTTTCCAGAGCTGGGGAGGCAGAGACAGAAGGATCTCTGGAGCTCGTGGCCAGCCAGCCTGGCCAAGTCGGTGAGCTCCAGGTTCAGTGAGAGACCCTATCTCAAAAAATAAGGTGGAGAGTGATGGAGGAGGACTCCTGGTATCAACCTATGGCCTCCATATGCATGTACACATGAGCACACACATGAACACACACATACAATATTCAGGAAGGAAAACCACCTGTAGTAAACATGTACAGACTTGTGTGTGGCTATCCCCTCAGTGGTCTAACAACCCTTCACAAAGCTCACCCTCACATTCAGGGTCATCTGGAGACTATCTAACACTCACAGGGAGCTGTGTGACCATTTCATAGTCAGGACTAGAGCAGCCACAGATGGGAATATCTATGGAGATTCTAGAACAATTCCCATAAATGGGGCAGTTGTATTTCAGGAACTGCAGTGAGAGTATTTTTGAGATAACATATGCAAGGCACACAGGTCTGTGCCTCACACAGAGGAAGTGCCCTGAAGGTGTGTGTGATCATCTCTGTTTTAGTCACTACTGACACACATTCAAATAACAGGGCCAGTGAGATGACTTCGCAGGTAAAGGCGCTTGCTGCCAAGTGGTGTGGTGGAAGGAGAGAACCAGCTCCTGCAAGTTGTGCCCCCCCCACCGGCACACAACATTTAAAAAAAATACCTGACATAGAACCTGGCACACAGCAAGTACCCAGTAGGTATCCCCTGCTGTGTTAGGATGACAAGCATTCAGCAGTCCTCAGCCCAGAACCTGGCACACACTTTTCCACAGTGGTCTCTGTAGAGTGCCACTATTTGCTACCGTTGCTGTCACTGGTGATGGTGATGTTGCTGTACCTGCAGTGCTTACAGGCTTGGGCTTTAGTCCTGCCATAGAGATGATGGAAAGAACAGTCATGACTGTCTCTTTACCTAAAGAGAATCTCAGGGCTGGCCAGATGGCTTAGTGGGTAAAATGCTTGCAGCACAAGCCTGATTTCCTGAGTTCGATCCCCAGATCCCATGGTGGAAGGGGAGAACTCATGAAAGTTGTCCTTTGACTTCCATACGTATACCATGGCACATGTGTGGCTGCAATGCCCACATTCACACACACACCATACACAGCACACACACACACACACACAACATACATATACATCCATCAAACATACATATATACGTCACATTCACACATACATCATACATACATATCACACACACATATCACATACATATATATATCACACACATGCAGGTATGTGTCACCACGCCCAGCTTCAGTGTGTTTTGTTTTTAAAGTACATGTTTGTGCACGTGTGTGTGTGTGTGTGTGTGTGTACACATGTGCTTGCACTTGTGCTCCAGTGCTCATGTGGAAGTCAGTGGATAACTTGCAGGAGTTGATTCTCCCCTTCTACCATGTGGATCCTGGAGATTGAACCTGGGTAGTCAAACTTGGCAGCAAGTGCCTTTACTGGCTGAGCCATCTTGTCGGCCATTGTTTTTTCTTTGGTCCAAAAGTAGAAAAAAAGACTGTGAGTTACTAGTTCCTACATGTTTCCAATGAAGAATCACACCTATGAAGTAGATCTAGAAGAATCCTAGACCATACCTAGTTGTGAAGAAATAATCCATTGCCACCTAGGCATATCTGTGTGAAAGCCCAGTGCTATCCCAAGCTAAACAGAGCAGGAGTCAAAAGTCATTAAGGGGGAGCATGCCCCGATGCAACTGGGCAGACAGTGGTAATTAAATGAGTTGTGGCATCGAATCCAATTCCATTCTCTCTTCCTCCTGACTCATCTTTGTCTGTTAGCAGAGATTTTTATTTTCTCCTTTAGCATTAAGTTTTCATTCCTTGTGGTGTCCTAGTCTTCTGTGTCTGTCTTCATTACAAATAGCTCACCTCTGAGTCTTTTTGACAGCAGGAAGAATAATAAGGACTAGTGACTAGCTGTTAGAGGTTCTGTTCTATTGTGCTGCCCCTGCTGTCCATTGCAGAAGAGGGGACGGGGTTTCAGAGAGGTGCAGAGACTTGCCCGTACTCACACAGCCAAGGTGACAGGTGGGATTTGAACTCTCATCTGGCCACAACATTTTCTTCTTATCCATTGCTATATGATAGCCCCTCAATCCTCTCCCTAATGAATGGCTCAGAGTTCCTGCCATTTGCCTGGTAACCCCAACTCCCTGGAAGGAAAGTTTTTTTCTCCCACTTATCCATAGCGTGCCAACTCTGAGAGCCTGAGGGATAGGGTCTTTTCCAGGATTGCTTGGGTTGGGGTCTTGGCCAGACTTGAGAGGTCTGAGTGGGTGGCAGCCAATGTGTCCCTTGTCACCTGCTCTTCCCACAGGCATTGCTGTGTGCATCGGGATGGCCAGCACCTTCGCCTATGCCAACTGCACCCTCCGGGAGCAGGTGTCACTGAAGGTGAGTTCCCTGTGACTGTCGGAACAATGACCTCAGACATAGCAGTTTAGAACAACCTAGATTTCCTGGCTCACAGCTCTACAGAATTGATGCTTCCACATGGCTGTATAGGCCAACAGTAAGGTGGCCCCAGGCTGCGTCCCTCTGGAGGCTCAAGGGACAGGCTCCTTCCTTGTCTTTGGTCAGGCCACAGTCGTCACCTGTGGGCCTTTTCTTCAAAGCCCCTGTTTTCCTCTTCTGTCTTTTTTTCTACTTTCAAGATCTCTTGATCACACTGGGCCCATGTGGGTAACCCAAGACACTGTCTCATCTCAGGGTCAGCTGGTTGGCAATGTGAATCCATCTGCAACCTTGATTCCCATTTGCTATGTTCCTGGCCATAGACTCGGGTTTGGGAAACGAGGCCTGGGACCCCTTGGAGTGTGAAATGGTTAATATTGTCAACATGACAGGATCTAGAGTCGCCTAGGAGATAGTGTCTAGGTTCTGTTCATTGAGAGGAAGGTCCACCCTAAATATGAGTGGCACGAAACCATGGGCTGGTATGTTGGACTGCATAAAAAGGAAAAAGCCTGCTGAGCACCAGGATTCATCTGTCTCTGCTTCCTGACCATGAATGCAGTGCAGCCAGCCACCTCATGCTCCTGTAAGTTCCAGGACTTGGAAGGGTGAAGCTAGAGATTCAAAGAGGCCAGCTCCCAACCAGCCACATGATCCCTGAGGGAGACAGCCAACCCGCTACAGTGTGTTGGCCTGCCAAGCAGGGTGTTTAGTAGGTTGTGTATGTTCAACGTGTTGCTGACTTAATGATGTTCTTCAATTTGTGGTGGGCTCATTAGGAAGCCAAGGAACTATACCAATTCAGACCCATCTAAGTGAGGGCAATAATATCCCCCAAGCTACCTCTGCTTGGATGTGGGGGCTAAGAGGATGCCTGGACCCCTAGATAAATCACCAGGAGTCTTGGTGCTCCATGAGAACCCAGGTGACATTTTGTTTATACATGAATATTTTAGAGTGTATGTGTGCTTTGAAGCAGCCTCATTCCATGGCCTAGACTGGTCTTTAAATACCCTATGTAGCTGAGTCTGGCCTTGAACTTGTGATCCTCCTTCCCCAGCCTCCCAAGTGCTGGGATTACATGTGTATAGCACCACACCATATATGACATATTTCTTGTAAGCAGGGAGCTCCATGACCACAGAATACTTAAGAATCTGGCTTCTTCCTAGACAAATTCTCCTTGCTCTTCCATCCTGTCACCCCAGGGCCTTCTGGATTCTAATTTTTACAGAGAAACTAGGAAGAAGGGGCTGCTGAGTGGGCTAATCACACTGACAAGTTGCTGGTTGGTTGGAGGTGGGGTGTGTGTGTAGGCCAGAGGTCAATTATCAGGTGTCTTCCACCTCATTTTTGGAAGCAGGGTCTCTCATTGAACCTGAGTTCACCGATTAAGCTAGCCTGGCAAACCAGGGAGTTCCAGGGATTCTCCTTGCTGTCTCCCCAGCACTGGGACACACCACTGTGCCTGGCTTTTTACATGGGTGCTGGGGATCCGAACCCCGGTCCTCATGTTTGTACAGCAGGCACTTTTCCAACTGAGCATCTCTGTAGCCCCTGGAGATGGTTTCTGTTTGTTGACCTCAAACACTCCTGGAACATTGGGGAGGGTGGAGATGAAGTTGTTTGGTCCTTTCTCTGGAACTGTGCCTTGCAGCAGAGCACAGGGCTCTAGGCCATGTCTGGAGACAGTGAGGAGGGTGGGAGGACGTTTACCGAAAGCACAGGGGAGGGTCAGTGGGAAAGCTATGATCTCATCTTGTTCCAGAAAAGCAGCCACTGTGGGCAGAAAGATATGGGCTTTGGCGAATGTCCTAGTTTGCTTCTCTGTTGCAGTGCTAAAACACTGACCAAAACAAACTTGGGGAGAAAGGGTGCTATTTGGCTTACAGATTATAGTCCATTATCAAGGAAAGCAGGGCAGGAACCTAGAGGCAGGAACTGAAGTACAGACCATGGAGGAACACTACTTACTGGCTTGCTTCCCCTGGCTTGCTCAGCTACCTTTCTTACATAGTCCAGGCCCACCAGTCCGAGATGGCACCACCCACAGTGGGCTGGGTCCTCCTACTTCAATAAGCAATCAAGAAAATGTCTCTCAGACATGCCCACAGACCAAACTGATGTAGGTAATCCCTCAACTGAGGTTCCTTCTTCCCAGGTGTCTCTAGTTTGTATCAAGTTGACAAACACTAACCAGTACAGAGTTGGCAGCAGAGGGGTCTGGGCTTGCCTCCCAGGGTGCACGGGCAGGAGCAGCCCATCTTTGTGAACTACAGGCATTTCCTGGAATTGCCCTCAGACCCAGAAGCTACTGGGAATCAGCAGACACACAGAGGCATTTTTTGTTCTTTGAAGTAGGGTCTTACTGTGTAGCCCAGGCTAGCCCCAAACCCATGCTCCTCCTGCCCCCACTTCCCAAGTGTTGTGATGACAGGCATGCACCACCATGCCGGGACAGTCTTCCAGGTGTTGTTCTTAGAGATTTGGCAGGAAGAAGGCTGCAGCAGGAGAAGGAGGGTAGACTGCGAAGGGTTCCCAAAGCTACCTGTTGGCGCCTCATCTCAGCAGAGTTCCTGCTGTGAACCATGGGTCAGGGAGGTAATGCAGAGATGTGTGCACAAAGCACCGTCTGCTCCTATATCTACTGCTGGGTTCCAGACTCTATAAGAGGTCCTGCTTCTTAGTGAGTCATAGTGAACGCAAGCCAGAATGAGGGTTTGTGTGACCTAATTTGACTGCACCCTCATCTTCAAATGCAGACAGTGGTGACCTTGAACAAATTACTTAGCCTCTCAGCTGGCCATGGTGGTGCATGCCTTTAATTCCAGCACTTGGGAGGCAGAGGCAGGTGGATCTCTGTGAGTTCAAGGCCACCCTCGTCTCCATAGAGAATCCAGGCCAGTTGCAACTGGAAAAAAAGAAAAAATTTGCCTCTCTGTGCCCAGTTCTTTTTATGTTTTAATTTTTATTACATTTATTATGTATGTATATACATATATGGTATATGTATGTATATATGGGCTTGTACATGCATGTGGAGGTGAGAGGACAGCATGTGAGACGTGGGAGTTAGTTCTCTCCTTCCACCATGTGGGTCCTGGGAATCCAAGTTAGGTCATCAGGCTAGACAACAAGGATCTTTACTTGCTGAACCATTTTGTCAGCCCTGTTTTGTTTATTTTAAGAAAGGGTCTCGTGTAGCCCAGGCTGGCCTCTTGATGTCTAGTAGAGGATGGCTTTGAACATTCTGCTCCTTCTTTCTTCACCTCCCAGGTTCTGGGATTACAGTATATACCACTATGCCAAGTTTGTGGCCAGTTCTTAACAGTAATTATAAACTGACACTGTGTCAAGCACTCTTCTAGGCATTATGAGTCCATTAATTCCCATGACCCTGTAAGGTAGATAGAGGTGTGGACCCATTTCACAGATAGGGAAATGCAAAGAATGTAAGTAGCTTGTGCAGGGTTGGACAGGTCTCAGGTAGTCCAGAGCTCCAGGTGGAGCCAAAGGAAGTATGTCAGATAGGTGTCAAATGCAGACTCAATTTAAAGTCATGCCATGTAGCTCCAAGGTGTGTTCTGTGAACATGTGCTCTGACCTTTCTAGATGGTTCTCCAAGCAAGTTCCCACCTTTCTGTTGCATTCTTTGTGACTACACCCTGAGTCCCAGTGAGATGGGAACTGCCAGAGGCCCCACCTTACCATCAGTTTTGCTTCCCTCAAAACTCATCATAGAACATTCTGGAATGTTCTGGCATGTGTGCCTTTGGCCTCTCAGCATACCCACAGGTCTCTTGCTTTGTCCTCAGGAGAAGAGATCGGTTCTGGTCATCTTGTGGATCCTGGCCTTTCTGGTGGGGAATACCCTGTATGTCCTGTATACCTTCAGCTCCCAGCAACTCTACAACAGGTGAGAGGATAAGCCGCCCCTAGTGGTGGGAGTGGGGGGCCGGGGACACACACACACACACACACACACACACACACACACACACACTGCACTGGGCTGTGGGTACACATCTGAACATCATGTGAGACCAGCACAGCCAGCTTCATGTCCTTACTCAGCTCTCAAATTCCACCCTGTTGTCACACACATTTAGGATGGTGCACCCCTAGAGAACTAGAACGCCAGCCATGTATGCAGCTTTACGTTTTCCAATTGCCACATGAAAATCAAAAGAAACTCATGGAATTAATGCTAATAATAGGTTTCATTGAACCATTGGCTTTCCATTGCTGTGGGTTCGGCACCTGTGGTTGCAGCCAGCCACAGATAGAAAATACCCAGAAAGTTACATCTGTATTGAACATGTGGCGACTATTCCCTTGTTATCCCCTTAGCAATGCAACATAACTATTTACATGGCATTTACATTTATGAGCTATCTAAAACCAGGCATGGTGGCATACATCTTTAATCCCAGCATTGGCAAGGAGAGGAAAGTGGAGCCCTGTTGAGCTCGAGGCCAGTCTGGTCTACATAGTGAGTTCCAGGCCAGCCACTGCTACATAGTGGGACCCTGTCTCAACAACAAAAAAAGTCATCTAGAGATGGTTTCGCCTGTACAGAAGGGCGTGTACCGATTATATGCAAACCCTGGAACATCCTGTATAAGACACTTACACATCCTTGGATTCAGGCATTCATGGAACATCCTGGGACTAATCCTTCATGGATTAATTCATGTGCATCCAAAATATTAGTTTGATATGTAATCAATGTAAAAATATTGCTGATATTTTACATGCATTTCTGCATTGTTTTCTAAACTATTATTTACATACACAGCTCCAGTCTATTGCAACTAGCCACATTTCAAGTGTGCAAAATGATAGAGATGAAACAGGTCTAGAATATTTCCATTTGGAGGCAAAGTTTCTGTGTTGCCTAGGTTGTCCTCGATCTTTCTGGTTTCTGGAATACTGGGGTGTGGGCATGTGCCACCCCACCCAGCTTGTAATAGTTGGTTAAAGTTCTTTTCGTGTACATATGTCACCATTTAAAATCTATAGCTAGACCCTAAAACAGGGCTGGCAGCCCACCCATTTCTATTACAGCGCTGTGTAAGAACCCAGCTCCACCATCCACTTCTGTCTGGTCTTCGAGAGCTTTTGTACCTACAGAGTTGAATGTTTGGCCGGACACTGCACAATCTTCAAGGCCAAAATATGTAATATCTAGAATTTTATAGGAAGGTTTGCGTCTTCTGATCTGAATTATTAATTGGGCCCCTAGATGTTAGATAGTGACTAATTCTATTCTATTCAGAATTGTTTTCATTTAAATAAATTTGTTATGAACACACATTCATTTCATAATAATAATGCTTTCTAGTTTCTTGCCTTCTGTTTGAGATAGGGTCTCCCTATATATCCTAAACTGACCTTGAACTCAAAATCCTCCTGCCTCTGCCTCCTAAGTACTGGGATCACAATCGTATACTCCCAGGCCCAACTTTTGTATTAAGGGCTGAACTTATCTTACTTTGAGCAAATAGAAACAAGGTCTCCCTGCCACCACAAACATGTCACATGACCTGGTGACCTTCCCCTCATGAGACTGTTTGGAGCTAAGCAATCTCTACCCCTCTTTATAAGGTCCCAATGACAAACCGAAGTTTGATTACAGCGTGGTTCACCCTGCAGAAGCAATGAGTTCATTGGGCTTGCTTACACTGCATGGGTGAGGGGTTATTGACAGGAATAGAGTGACCCTAAAATACCCACAATGAAAAGTGTGTGCCCAACATTGATGATGGCCTCCTCGTAGCCACATAGAGAGAGCCCCCTTCTCCTAATCCCCCAACATATGTACTCTAGCCCCTCCCCCAGGACCCCTGGGGTCATGAATAATTAGGGCAAAGTTGCATTCAGCTGGTTGGGAGGAATGGCTGGCTACTCAGGTGAGGGTTGGTGTTACCCTCCCTACCCCCTCTTTCTGTGAGGGAATGCCAACAGTCATCGAGCCTTGTTGTGATGATGTGTGCAAGCAGGCACAGCTGGTCTTAGGAAGATGGTGATTGTTTGGCTCTGAGGATAACTGCTGGCTAGAAGTGACTTAGGACTAAGTTCTGTGCATCTGGGTAGGAGGTGGAGCCAAAGAAATGGAATGGATTGCCCAGCCCTGAAATAGCGCCAGCTTCTCTGAAGTGCTCCTGCCCCCTGCAGTCAAAACACTTAGAAATTCCTTTTGTTGCTGTTTTCCATTTTCATACGGGGGTGTGGCTAGGGCATGTGTGTCGGCACACGTGTGTGGGGGTGTGAATGCATATGTGTGCGTGTGCATGTGGAGGCCTGAGGTCGATGTCTTGGGATCATCCTTGATAGCTTTTCTACCTTGTTCTTTGAGTCAGGGTATCTCGTTCAAATCCAGAGCTCCTGCTCTGCCAGTCTCACTGACCAGCCAACATGTTCCAGGGATCCCCTCTCCTTCCAAGGCTGGAATGACAAGCAGGCTGCTAGGCCCTCCCATCATTTTAAGTGGGTTCTGGGGATCCAAACTTCAGTCTTCATGCTTGCACAGACCCCTGAGCTGTCTCCCCAGGCCCTGGAAATTCTTCTGAAACCAGTAAGCCTGCTGCCCAGATCCAACAGCTGCACCAAGCAGGGTAAAGCCCCCTTCCCTCCCTCCTTCCCTCCCTCCCAGGGGCCTGCCCAACAGGCAGATCTTTTCCTGGCTCCTTTCTGAGGCACTGCCCACCTCCCGTTTTCCTGATGCATCTTTCCCAGGTCCCTGTCTATGCTTAGTCCAAATTGTCCAATTCATATTTATCAAATAAATAACTGAATTTTTACAGTACTTTATTTTTATAATTTGAAAGGTAATTTCTTTTTAATGGTAAAAAATTAGAAAACATTGCCAGGTTGGAGGTACACACTTTTAGTCCCCGCACTCTGGAAACAGAAGTAGGCGGATCTCTGTGAGTTCAAGGCCAGCCTGGTCTACATAGTGAGTTCCAGGCTAGCTGGGGTACAGGGAAACCCTGTAAAGACCCCCCCCAAAAAAAGAAAATAGAAAGGGGGTTCTGCATCCCCCTCAGTCCTGTCAACTAATACAGCTGTGTGATTTCATTTTTCTCTTTGAAGATCTGGGGATGTAGCTCAGTGGCAGAGTGCTTGATGGGAGGCCCTGAGTTTCCTCCCCAGCACTGGGACAAAACAAAACAAAACATGGTGGGCTTTGTAACACAGGCCTGTAATCCTAGCCTGAGGCAGGAGGGTAGCAAGTTCGAGGCCAAATTGAAGAGATTTTGTCTCAAAATAAACCAAACCAAACAAAAAATTGTTTTTCTGTGCATATTTATGTGCATTTGTTATGGGAGATAACATGGTAACATGTAGAAGCTGTCTTAATTTAAATTTTTAATTTCCAATTCCCACCATGTCTACCTTCCTTTCTTCCTTCCGTCATCCCTTCTTCTTTACTTTCCTTCTTGCGTGGCCTATGCTGGCCTTCAAGGTCCAGTTCTCCTGCCTCAGGCTCCCAAGTGCCAGGACCTCAGGATGTTTGTACCCAGCTTCATGGTGTCACTTTATATCAAGTCCTAATACTGATGCCTCCTATACTGGCACCGGGACCATACAGACTGAGGATCCCTTATCCCAAAGCTTGCTAGCAGAAGTGTTTCAGATTTTAAGTTTTTTTAATTGTAAAATATTTGTTAGACTTTACCCATTGAGCATCCCTAATCCAAAATCAGATGCTCTGCATGACTCCAAAGGTTTCAGTTTGTAGCACTTTGAGTTTTCAAATTGGACATGCTTGACCTGTATTAAAATCATCTTGTCAACAAGCCATCAGGATGTCATTTCCACTGGGCCGTCCTCCCTGCAAAGCTTCACTCATTATTTTAAAAAGCTGAACATGCAGGCCCGAGGCTGGGCAGGAACCAGGACACCCCTGGTGTGACAGCCAGAATCCGTAGATGCTCGTTTTGGTGTCAGCTCTTAGCATGCCTTAGCCTCTATTTAGTCTGTTTCACCATTAACATTCAAGAGAGAGCACCCCTGATGGGTTGGAGGTCCATGCCTGCCCAGGCAAGGCCAGGCCACAAGTTCCACCTAGGACTGGAACATTCCCTGGAAAAGGCAGAGGGCCATGTGCCCAACAGATGCTCCAAAGGCAAGTACTTCATAGAATGAGGACCATTTGAGGAGAGGTCTGAGGGCGAGCAGAATCATAGATCTGCATCAAACAGAAAAGGGTTGTAAGCCAAATACCTGGAGATTTCACCAACCAGTAAGGCCCCCCAAAGCTCAAGCTTCTCTCATACAACCCCAGCTTACTTTATGCAATTGAAAACATACTTATAAATGGTCATCACGTACCAGCCCAACTGCCAGAATAAGCCTATGCATGAGTGAAGGAAAGGTCTGTACCAGCACAGTAGAGGTGTTCCGCCTTAAAAAGGAAGGAAATCCAGATACAGCCACAGCATGGATGTATGTTAGGAATGTTTTGTGAATTGAAATGAAAAGTCACAAAAGACAAGCACTGCATGATTCCACTTATAGGAGACAGAGTAGTGGATTGCATAGAGCTAGAACGAAGTTGAATGCATGCCTGTGATTCCAGTGCTCAGGAGGGGTTCAAGTTTGAAACCAGCCTGGGCTATATGGTGAGACCCTGTCACAAAAAAGGATGGAGGGAAGGAGGGAGGGAAGGAAGGAAGGAAGCAAGCAAAGAGTGAGCCAAATAGTGGTTGCCAGGACTTGGGGAGAGAGAGGAAGAAGGGAAATGATGGCTTGTTTAATGGCTTATGGAGTGTAAGTTTTGAAGAAATGAAAGGGTTGTGAAGTTGGATGTAGTGGGACTTGCCCAAGAGTGTGGGTGTGCTTATGGTAAACCATACCATGATAAATGGAGATGTCATGTTATTCGTGCTTTACCACAATTAGGAAAAACATATGTGTGCCAGCATCATTTTAGGAGGGAATGGGTGTTTTAACACCAAAAATTAGTTAAGCGTAAAGAACAATCCTGTGGGTGGAATAAATTTCACCTCATCTTAGAAAAATCATTTAGAAATCATTGAATAAGATAATGTCACCAGAATGTTCTCAAGTGTAGTGATGATCAGGGTTTCCTGTGGGTGGAGGAGAGGGTTGGACTCTAGACAGGGTGGAAACTCAAGTCAGGCTTCCCAGTCATGTTCACCTGTCTTGAAAATGGACCCGGGGTAACAGTAGTCCTGACGCTTAGAGGCCACCCCTTAAACACAATCTTGGGAGTCAGTCTAGGTACCCACACACATCCCAGGCCCTGCATTAGTCCCATGGTCCAGAATGCCAAGGCCCTGGCGGGGCAGAGGAAATGGAGTTTCCCAGCAGCTGGGTTGAGTTTCCCACTCATGCTGTTCTCTGGGCACAATCATGTTCCAGGACTCAGACCTCAGTGCCCCCGTCAAACCAGGGCTGAGTCAGATTGGCAGCCCAGTAGGAGAATGGGAAACAGGCCATAAAGAAAAGCACCAGGGTGAGACTTTGTCCTTCTTGATGCCACCTATCTCTAGTGTGTGTGAGAGTGATTCCAACAGCCCCTGCCTTGTCTTGCCTGCCCAGTGACCCAGCAGGGTCACTCTCATTTCATTAGGGGGAAAACAGACCTCACAAACCCCTTCTGTATCAGTCTGTTTTTCTGATACTGTAATAAAATACTTGAGGGTGGGTATTTTTTGTCTTTTAGACAGGTCTCATATAGCCCAGATTGGCATCTAACTTAATACATATTTGAGAATGACCTTGACCCTCACATATGCTGGAATTACAAGCAAGTGCTATCACATCTAGTTTATATGGTGCTGGGGATGTAACCCAAGGCCTCATGCATGCTAGGCAAGTACTCTACCAGCTGAGCCACATCCCTAGTTCAAGACTGAGTGCTTTATGAGGAAAAGAGGCTTATTTGGCTCTGGTTCCAGAGCATGACTCTTTCCTTGGCATGACTCTAATGAGGACCTTGAAGCTGATGGTATCAAGATGGGTAGAAGAGAGAGATTACATGATGACACAGGAAGCCAGAGAGGGCACACCTGCCATCCTAGCACTTGGGAAGCTGAGGCAGAAGGATAGGATCATGAGTTCTAGGCCAGCCTGAGCTACACAGGAAGATCCTGTCTTAACAACATAAAAAGATGTGGCTGTGTATGGAAGTCAGCCAGTGAAGTTGGGGACTTGGGGGTCCCCAGGAGGGGGCAAGAACAGCCTAAAAAGAAAGTACCCAGGCTGGTTGCTCGGTTCCAGGAATGGACACTGAAGCTGGAGCAAGGAGTCCCACACAGGCAGGGCTGTGGGATTGGAGGGGTGTTGAAGTTGACGTGAGCAACTGCCAGCATAGATTCTTAGGTTGCTAGGGTAGAGCAGCCTCATTCCACACTCCTCTGCTCTCCCTGCAGTTTCTGAAGCATTGAGCAAGCATTCTCTCTGTTTGGTGCATGCGGTGCTAGGAGAGAGGAAGCAGGTAGGAGCCTGGCCAGCCCTGTGTCCACACCCTCTGGCTCCAATCCTAACACCATATTCCAGCTGAGACAGCAGGAGGCAGTGACTCCACCTCTCTGTGCCACATTGTCCAGAGCTCAGAATGGGATAACCTTAGGACCTGCTTCATGCTTCATGGCGCCCTGGGGAGGCAAAATGAGTTAAGACACACAAAGTACATAGAGCAGGGGTGGAATAACAGAAGGAGCCAGATATTTTTTACTCTTGATGATATTATGAATATGGTCTTGAAGAGCAGTGCCATGCTACATGCAGGCCAGGAACTGGGACCAGTTTTCAAACTTGTCTGTCTGCAGTGTGAACTTCAAATTGCAGAGTCATAGACAGGCACAATGGGTTTTCAGTGTGCCTGCTTATAGGCATGTGATATGAGTTTGCAACGACCCCAGTCGTGGACAAGCGAAATGGTTTTCAGTGTGCCTAGTCATAAACAGGTGATGGGTTTGCAGTGTGCCCAGTTACGGGCAGGTGAAATGGGTTTGCAATGTGCTCAGCCATGAGCAGGTGCCATACATTTGCAACTTGCTCAGCACAAACAGGTACAATGCATCTGTTCATGCCAGATCATGGAGAGATGTCACAGGCTTACCCTCTCAGTAGCTGGACTGCACAGCATGGACTGATTGACAGCACTCCCTGCAGCCAGGATGCCTGAGCCCTGGCTCCCTCGTTGCAGGGCTTGTCTGCTTCTTTACTTCTCTGTGCCTCCGTTTCCTTATCTGCAAATGGGCTGGATGACAGTGTTGGCCTCAGCATTTCTGTCGTCATTGTCACCACTGCACATGTGGGGTCTATGGTACATCTGTGATCTCATCCAGGCCTGACAGTCATGCCAGGGGAGAGGGAGCGAGCCCCAATTTGCTGATAACACTGAGGTGCACAGAGTTAACTTGATCTACTAGGGCCAGCCTAGATTCAAATGCAAGTCCCTCTGATGTTGAGGTCTGTGACTTTGAGCTTCGATCCTCCTCTGTGAAGTGGTGCTGAGCCACACCTACTGCAGAGCCCCTCGCTGGGGAGAGTGAACGAGAGCCACTATACTATCCTCCCTGGGTAAAGTAGCCTACCACCTCTCTTCCCTTTTCTCCTTTCCATGATGACTATTTTAGATGCATAACACTGAAGGGGAGGACTGAGGGGATGGCTCAGTTAGTAAAGTGCAAGGACCTACATTCGATTCCCAATACTCACATAAAACACCAGGTGTGGTGGTGCATGCTTAGAATCTCAGTGCTGAGGAAGTGGAAGCAGAAGGGTCCGCCTAGGGTTTGCTGACCAGCCAGCCTTGCATAATTGGTGAGTTCAGGCCAGTGAGGGACCTGTCTCCATAAAAAGGAAGAAAAAAGGTGGATGACAACACCCAAAGTTGACCTCTGACCTGTGCACGTGCACACACACACACACACACACACACACACACACACACACAGAGGAGAACTTAAGGATGCTCCAGGCCAATACAGCCATTTAATCCTCAAGGGAACTGAGACACGTGATTAAGAGACCCAGCTGAGGTCACTCAGCAGATCAGGAAACAGAGGACTGCTGACTCTGAGGTCAGTGTACTTTCTCTTGATGATATTTACAAGACTCCCCAGTGAGAGGGAGATCTGCTGGGCACTGGACCTAAATGTGTGACTTGGCTTTATAACGCTCCCCAGCCTCATATTCCTGAAGCCCAACCTGGAGACACTGGACTTCTTCGATCTGCTGTGGATCGTGGGCATCGCAGACTTTGTGCTCAAGTACATCACCATTGCCCTCAAATGCCTCATCGTGGCCCTGCCCAGAATCATCCTTGCCGTCAAGTCCAAGGTAAGCACTGGTTGTTGCCACCAGAAGATCCAGTCACACCAGTCATGCGTGGGATTCTGGGTACCTTCTGGAGATGGAAAGAAAAAGCTGGAGCAGAGCAGATGTCACACCTGTAGGCCACCACCATAATTCCTTGCATTGTTTTTGGATGTCTCCACCCTCTGCCCCCTCAATACATATCCTTGGTACAGTTTCATTTAATTTCCCCTGAGGGAGGGAAACAAGGCTTGTTGACATGCCCAGGTCCTGCTTCTCTCAGGGAAAAGTCACCCTAATAGCTTTTGACTCTCTGCATTCCAGGAAATTGTTTTGTAAAGGGGATTGAGGCTTAGAAGGAAAAGGCTCTGTGATCCATTAGTGATGTCTGGCATGGATAAAGGAGGGGAAGCAGGAGTAGTGGTGCTCTACAGTGTGCAGTATGGAAATACTTTGGGATGAAGAGGTCTTGAGGAATGGCCATTGAAACTCAGAGGACTGAGCCAGCCCAGGACAACATGTCACCCCTAGGATATGACCACAGTGCTTCTGTGATATGACCCATAGGGAAATTGGACAGAGGCAGGTGGATTAAAAGAATTCGAAGACCCTTGCATTCTATTCTATAAAAACAGCCTCTTTTTAATTTTAAATATTTTAATATTCAATATTTTAAATATTTAACTTTAATATTTTTTAAATTTTATTTTTCTGTGTGTATGAGTGTTTTGCCTGCATATATGTAAGTGCACCAGATGAGTGCAATGCCTTCAGAGGCCAGAAGAGGACATAAAATCCCCTGGAACTAGAATTTCAAGGACAGTTGTAGCCACCATGTGCATACTGGGAACTGAACCCAGGTCTTCTTCAAGAACAGCCAGTGCTCTTAACTGCTGAGCCATCTCTCCAACCCCCAAAATGGCATCATTCATATTCAGAGAGCTCAGCCTGGGTCCCACGCTTTTCATGACAGAACAGCAGGTTGGCACTGACCCTCAGTCGTGTGTGACAGCTAACCCAACCCACTAGCTATTAATCTGAGCAGGTTCCTCCCCTCCCCACCATGCATTGATCTAGGTGAGCCCAAATTTCACACTGTTGATGAGGCCATAGCTCTGGTACCCTAAGGCAGTGCCAGAAGTCTAAAGTGGCCTGAGACCTGAGGCTGTCTGCTGTAGGTGGACAGAGGTACTGCAAGAGGGAGGGTATTGCCCACATCCACTTCTGAAGGTGACTGGGAGCTAAGAGTGAGAAACCAGAGGAAGCAAGGCATCCCAGGTGCCTCCTGGCTACAGTGCAGCTTAGGTCTGTCATCTATGGCTACACATCTGTGGTGTCCACTGTCACCTGCCTTGTCCTCTTGGAATTCCTCAGTTCAGGTCTCTGGGAGAAAGGTCTGGTCTTTCAAGTTCTCCTTTTGCAACAGGGATGGGCAATGAGTGAGCTTCATCCTGGGCATGTGCTCCCTGTTTATCTAATCAGCTTCCAGCATAGAAAGTCTGGAACATGGTTGCTGAGGAAGGCTCTTCCAGCAGGGGGCCTGGTAGGGCAAACAGTGGGTTGGTTTCCATGAATGAGCTTGGCATCCCCACCACATATGGGCCCCTTCCCATTGTTTGGATCTCAGAGCCTGGCTCTCCATGAGCCCCACTGCTCATGTTCACAACCTGCAAGTGACTTTGAACTCTTCCCATCCTTGCTCCTGGGAGCAACCAACTTCTGTCTGTCTTATGTCCTAAATGACTCTGAAGTCCTGCTTCATCTCACATTCCTATTGCCACCACCCTAGACATTGCCATCATAGACCAAAGGGGCCTTTCTTATCGCTCTTCTCTGACCTCCTCCTTGTTCTGTCCTTTGTAGTGAGAGCAGCCTTTTAAACCAACTAATCTGATTGTTCATCTCATTGCTTCTCTTTGCCTCCCTACAACTAAAACCCCGTCTGTAGAAATGAATGCATCTAGTTTTGTTTTTGTTTTGTTTTTGTTTTTGACGAATCACCAGCATCTCTCTGCATTTATAGAGGGGTGTGTGTGTGTGTGTGTGTGTGTGTGTGTGTGTGTAGAAGGGTGTGTGTATGGATATACAGATAGATAGGTAGAGGAATTAAATGAATGGGAAGGGTAGTGGATGAGCAGATTGCTGTATAGGTAGGTGGGTGTATGAACAAGGGAGAGGGAAAGAGAAGGATGAATCAATAAATGGATGGATGGGTGGGTGGATGAAGGGAGGGAGGGAGGGATAAGTGAATCAAGGGATGGATAGATGGATGGATGAAGAGAGAGATGGATGAATAGACAGAAGAATGGATAGATGGATGCATGGATAAAAGGATGGATGGATGAAGGAAGGAATGGATGGATATATGGATGGAGGGATGCATGGATGAATGGGAAGATGGATGGATGGATGGAGGATCTAGCCAACTATACTCTTACCATCTCCTATTGTGGTAACAGTAAGAGCTTAGATTCCATTCTCAGCTCACATCACACCTCTTCTATGTGGTAAACATCCAAGCAAGTCTATCATGAAAACAGAAATCTATAAGCAAGGTAACTAGACTTCTCTGTACTAGAAAAGACCACGTAGAGCCTCTCGAAGAATCTGGAGGCCCAGCTGACAGTCATGAGCATGGCTAAGCATTGCGGAGCAGGCACCAGGAGCCGAGGAGTCTGTCAGCAGTGCTATGTACTCAAGAACTGTTTGTGGGATGGGTTCTACAAGCAGGCTGTGTTGAAGGGCACAGGGGTCACCTCAGTCAAAAAAGTTCAAGAAACTGCCTTCCTTGTGGTATTTAGAGTCTTCCTAGACATTATCTCATTTAATCTCATGAGTCCTCAGAGGGGAGATGCCTCTGACCTCTGCTCACAGAGAGGAGACTGAATTAAGTAACTTGGCAAAGACCACAGACCAGCCACAGGAGCTGTGGTGTGGCTCAACCCTCAAGGCGGCAGGGCCCTCCTCTAATTGTTTCCTTCTAACATTGGCCTCATAAGACATGAGTCATTGTCATGGGTTTTAAAAAAATATTTTTAATTGAGGTAAAATTCACATAAAATTAACCATTAATCATTTTAAAATCTATCATTCATTCTGTGACAGCATTGGTGCAACCAGCACCTCTGTCTGGTTCTAGACCATTTCCATCACCCCAGAGAGAAGCCTGTACTCATTAAGCATTCACCCCGGGCCCCTCCTACCAGCCCCTGGCAGCCACTGATCTGCCTTCCATCTTTGTGGATTCACCCACTCTAGACAGTTCATGCATAGAATCACATCTTAGCGATTCGTGTTTGGCTGCTTTTACCCAATATTCACATCTTGAAACTCATCCACATTGTAGCATGGGCCAGGCCAAGTGGTACACACCTGTAGTCCCAGCACTCAAGAGCTAGAGGGAGGAGGATCGGAAGTTCAGGACCAGCTTGGGCACATACAGGAACTGGGAGATGGCTCAGTGAGTAAAGGTGCTTACTCTTCAAGCATGAGGACCTAAGTTCAAATCCCCAGCACCTACATAAAAAGCCAGAGATGACTGCATGTGCTTTTAACCCCCTGCATTGTAGGGGAGAGACAGCCATATGCCAAAATGGTGAAGAGAGAGATAGTTCGATGAGAGACCTGTCTTAAGGCAGTAAATCGTAGAGCAATAGAGGAAGACATCCAACGTCCTGCTTGGCCTCTGCATGTGCCCACATGGGCACATACACCTTCACACTCAAGTGCATAGCATCATTTAGTTAGCCATTTATCCACTGAGGGACTTTTGGCTGCTTTCTACCTTTCAGCTATTGTGAGTAGTGTATAAGAATGCAAACATTGTCCTTCTAGAAAATACCTAAATATGGAATTCCTGGTCATATGGAAATTCTGTTAACTCTGTGAGGAACATGAGAGGCTGGACCATTTTACATTCTGAGCCATAGAAAACCAATCAGTGGGAGGTTAAGCAGCCCAAGGTCACATAGCTGGTAAGTGACCAAGCCAGGACTTGAACACAGGCAGCTGAACACCAGACCCCCGCTCTGAGTCACTGGGCTCACTTCCCATGAGAGTTTCCTGAATTTGTCCAGGGAACTCATCCAAGCTACATTAAGAGTCAAGTCTGTGGATATAAAATCCCTCCCCACTTCCAGATCCAGCCTGGAGCTGCCTGCCTTCCTGTGGACCAGAGGTTGGGTGTGGGCCCTGACACCCCTTCCCCACACCTCTGAAATGTGGGTGACAGTTATTAATGCCTCCCTGGCAACTGTCCAGCTCCTTCTTTGATGATTATTATTTTATTCGGAGAGATTAATGCGCCAGGTCAGAGCATAATCCAGCCTGTAACAAGTGATGTGAATGGCCCTCCCAAGATAAATTGCAGGCTGGGAAAAGGTCTGCAGCCTCTCCTTGCCTGTCTGAGAGCTCTCGAGAATCCTCATCAATCCTTGTCTGGAAGGAAGAAAGCCCTGGGTCTTCCTCTGCAGCTGGGGTGGGGCTGGTTAGGGGGGAGACACATCTGTCAGGGACCCCTAATGGCCCTCAGCACAGATGCATCTTCCCGGGTCTCCATGCCATCCGCTGAGAGGGTGGGCTGGTTTTGAATATTGCAATTATTATATTGGGAGTCTCTGGTATTTGGCCCTGCTTAATGGCTGACGTGAGGCTGAGCAAACCACCTTGCCTTGGGACTCTGGGGTTATCTTCATTTTCTTTCTCTTCTTAATCATGCCTCTGCCACTAGTAATTCCCAAATTCCCACATGCCTCCTAGCACTAGAGGGTCTGTCGGGAACCCTCGCAGAGGCGCCCCTTAGAGAGTTGGGCTCCTTGGGTTAAAGATGGTGGCCACCAATCTTTAACCTCAGCCCCAAATGGTCAGTCTGGTCTGGTAATCCGAGCTGATACTTGTTTGTTTTGGAGAAAGATTCTCACTATGTAGCCCAGGTTAGCCTTGAATTCCTGGTCCTCCTGCCTCAGCCTCCTGAGTGCTGGGATTACAGACATAAGTCACCCCACCTGGCCCTGAACTGAGCTGAG